TTCCCTTCCCTTTCCTTTTCTTCCTCCTCGTCTTCTGATGAAGAAGAGGGTTCCTCTGCTTCCAGATTGACCTCTCGTGTCCTTCGGATGTGATTGTCTATGTCCTTGGCTCGAGACTCTGGACCTTTCCCTTTCCGTGTTCGGTTCGTTCGTTCTCTTCTCTTCGTTTCGAGTCGGCATCGATGGGTTCGTTGCATCACGAATGGATTCCGAAAGCCATCCGATGCTTTCGACCGTATTCGTCCCGACCCTTCCTTACTACGTCTATCGTTTAACTTCTGCCTGCTCTTCTTTCGTGTCCCTGGGGTCCGCTTCTGGTTCCTCGACAACGGCATTGCCGGCAGTCTGGTGGCCTCCTCTACACGCATTAATGTGATATCGGGCAACAAAATTAATCCTCGGAAATTCCTATGAAGAGAAAGGCAATTGGATGATGAGGCGAACCCAAGTTAGAGAGGCGAGGATTCAGCTTATTCTTCGTGTGAAATTCGTCGAGGACTTTGTGTTCCTCGAGAGTGCGGGACATTTCGGGAAAGTCCTCGAAGAGAAGTTCATCGGAATCGAATGTCTTTTTATGTCCCTTCCAAGCTATATCGTTAGTAGGCAATCCCCTCGATAATCCATTCACGGTCTCGCCTGTTTATGTGGGTGTATACTTCGAGATAAGAAGTCTTACATTTTCGGAGGCTGGGGACGGGATGAAAGGCCTCAGATGATATAGAGATGACCGAAGAGACGATGACGACCAGGCCGAGGAGAAGGCAGGACCAATCCCTTTTCAACATATAAAAGATCTACGGAATTGTCTATGATGTCATTCCCAGGAATTTCTTTCTCCTCTTACAAGGGATATCTCATCGCCGTCCATAGCAACCTTTTCGTCTCATTCTTGCTGCCGTAACAATACAGCGCATGTAATAAATAGACCGGGGAGAGAGCTCGCAATGACCTCGTACGATAGAGATCATTATCTTTTTCATATCTACCGATATGAGCCTTGCTGGCGAGACTCTGCAGCCAATAAGGAGAGTTCGGAGAAAAAATAGTCCTCCTTCTCTGCATTAAGTCATGTGTATATGTAAGGGCGGAGTAAAAGTGCAAATCATCCTATGGAATCTGCTGCTTAAGGTGAAATTCATGAAGAATACTTTGAATCTCGAAAGAGAAGAGATAGTGAAAGGAGCTTTTCGAGGCTGGAAGTCGTGAAGGATGTTCATGAAGCGCACGATCCTGCTTTAAACCCGAAGTGTGATTACATTTTTTTCAGAGTTTCCTCTCTGAAAAGTTCATCGATATAGAATGAAATTAGGACACGAGCATCAGTAGCTGCCGATCGTAAGCGTTATACAGGATTAAAGATGACACTCCTTAATCTCGATCCTGCAGTATGAAAGGAGCTAATAGGCTCCCGGTGTGATCAACTTAACTGGAGCGGCGAAAAGAGAAGCTAGGGGATAGCAATCAATTATATGATTTCACAAGATTTCTGCCTGTGACAGCTCTGGATTCTTCCGCGCCATTGAGTCCAGAAGAAACTGAGGAACCATCTCGCTGCACCATCTCAGAGTACTATTTAAAAGATACCGGTTAGCGTTCAAATAGAAAATTGCTATAATCAGCGCATAATTAGGCTGAAGACGCCACAGAGGAAGTGATAAATTAATTCGGATTTCAAAGAAATGAGATATTCATGTCAAAATCAAGATTCTAATGCATTCTAAAGTGGAATATTATGCCTCGGTTGGATATGAATATGACCAAGGCCTTTTCCGATCGCATCATTTTGCCCTTCTTCACAATTACTTTGACGCTCGAAAGAAATACAAAGGGTGAGATGTTCCGGGTCTGGTTCTCCAACTTCTTTATTCTTTGATATACACATCGTACTACTGCGATTTCTCGTACGTGTCTTGTGTTTGATATTGGGGATGCACGGGCATAACTTCTCGCTTACTGCTTTTAATTTTAAAATTGTATGAGCTTTTCTATAGATGGATTCTTTGACCTGCAGGCAAAAGTGAGCGATGAATCCCATAAAACTGGGATATCAGTACTCCATTTTTTTTAAAGAAGAAAATGTAGAAAATACACAAAAGAAAACTTTTGATACGTTGTACTGCTGCTTTCGAGCAGATGCTCTCGACAGCTCGGCGATATTCGAGGGGGAGGAACCATTAAAAAAAAAGGTGGTCATTAGGGACTACGCGAGGTTGGTTCGGCCGGTCAATATGGGTCGAGAGGGGGAAAATTCCAAGAAATTCTTCAAAGTTCAGAAAGTGACAAATCATAGCCCTTGAGAACATGGATTTTTCTAATGGTGACATTTAGGTTCCTTCGGGTTCCATTCCCCAGCTGAGATTCACGATCGCCCTAACGTTGGGGAACTCCTGTTAAAGGTCATCTTTTTTGCGGGTCGTTTGAGTCGCTCAAAAGCCTCAGAGATTCCTGGAGCCTGGCACATTTCTCCCCTTCTACGCACAATTTGACGGTCCTACTTTTTTTTTTTAAAGAGGGTTAAAGAAACTAATTATTCACTTTCGCCATATACGTGAGTCAAAGACGCCATGCAAAAAAAAGCGCTTAAAAAAATAAAAAGCAGAAAGCGAGGAATACGCCAACGCATTTCCAAGACCCCACACGAGCTACTCAAGAGATATCACATCTGTAAATAAGGAATGAATTCCAGGAATTTTTTTTAACACCCTCGCAATTCAAATATCCCTTCTGGGATTCAAATCCTTATCGACTGCCCATCACCGAAATGACATTCCTCTTGAAACATGTCATCTACGGGAGTGGGGGGGCTTATGCTTTCGTCAAACCCTGCAGCTTTCTTTCCGTCCATAAAATCTAAAAAGGAAATGTAACGAGCTCCTTCAACTCTTACTTCGGTCTATTAATAGACCAAAGTTCAGTCAGACTTATACCATATCTACGAGTATGATCTCTTTCCGAGACCTCGAGATAGAAACCCCGGGGATGCGATTCGTCGAAATCTTCCTAACGTGATTCATATTCATTTGGAGTCTCGAGGAAGAAACAGGGAGGTTCAGCCATTGTGCCTAATTATTTCCAGTCCAGTTTTAGAAGATTTTCCCTTACAAAAAATTGTTACCCGAGGGAAAATTGGGACGGTGAAACTGAGGTAAAAAAAAAAAAGTTTTTTTCCTCTCTTTCAACCTGTTAGAAGACCCTTTAAGTAAAGATTAGGGGGAAAAGTGGTTAAATTTGGACGAACGAGGGGGTCACGTTTTGTATGAGTTGAGCTAGAGGGAAAGGGAAAACTAAGGAGAGAAAAGGGAGAGAGTGCCAGGTCCTCATTTTTTTAACCTAGATATTTAAAACGCATTACACTTCCCCGGGGGAGGGTGGGAGGGGGGAAGGTGGGAGGAAAGGGAATCAGGCAGGGAAGAATAAAAATAAAAAACGAATTTCTGTCTTAGGATTTTAAGGGATTTTGTGGGATCTGGAATCCCACCAGGGTAATAAAAGATTCCAGAACACCCGCGGGTAATCGAGAATCAATACCTTTTTCAAATTCTACATAGCACTAGTGGGATGTTGGATCAGACTCGAAAACAGAGGAAACTTGAATTCCACTTTCCACCGAAACGCTGTGAATTGCTGTGAATCGAATCGCCCCGAATTCTATGAATCGATTCACGGCAATTCTTTTCGGTATCTCGTGAGGGTCCGAAGCGACGACCGAACGAAGAACGGAAACGACATCGGACACCCGTCAGGGACGTCACGACAGACCGTTCCTCGATGAACGATCGGTAAAGACGCACGTGCGAAGCGATGTTAATAGCAGCGGTTACCGTAACATCGGTCGCAAAAGCCTTCCGCTCTTACATTATTTACTGACGGGACTCTTCGACTCTTCCATTTTCAACTGCAACAAAGGTTTTAACTTACCAAAAAGTCGTGGGCGTGAAAAAAAATTAATTTGCTCTTCAAAATACCATGGCAGTATGCCATGTGATTTGCCTAATTGAGAGACTGCGGTTTTTTGTACCTCATCAACTGGTGATTATTTCATTTGCCGTCTACTGCCAAATCCAATTTGCAATTCGTCCTTTCGTGCTTCCATCGATTCCTCTTCCTGCAGTCGATCGATTGGATTCCCTATTGCACTAGGGCAGAGAGGAATTACATTTTTGCGACAAAACGCCCACTAATGAGATCTGGAATTTTGGATGTAAAAATATTGATTTCAGATTATCTGCGAATGTGCTGGAAGCGTTTCACATGCTAGTGGTTATCCCAGATTGCGCTAAATCCCTTAAAACTCCAGGATATATCCCTCTCCAGAACCGCGACACGACATGCCGCATTCAAATGAATAGTCAGCTCGCTCGTTCCGTAATGGGATCACTCAACAGAAGATTTCGCAACGATCACAGGCTTCGTGTGGAACACGTTTGCGAAGTGATCAGGTCCGCAGACGACTCGAAAAAAACCCGCTTTCTAATAAATGTGGCTTTCTTGGGACTCTGCGGGAGGTCGGCTCATTTATTTTTACCTGTTCTTTTGGGTATTGCCACCTGCTGTTCTTAATGCATCTCTATTTGACGTCAATATAATCTTCCGGGGGAGGGGGAGGGGGGAGGGGGGGGGGGAGGGCGGGGGGCGGGAGCGTTAAGAGCCCCGTTACCTTTGTTCTTCATCATCCATAACTTCTTTTCACGCGTGCCTGCCCGTTCCTCTGTCTTCTCTCATTAACGATGCCTCGATTCCTGATCCTTTTTCCCAGGTGAACGGGTTGGTGTGGGGCTTATCTCCGCTCTTGTGCGACTTGTACATTGCATCCGACGTGACGTGCAGCACATCGTCCATCCTTAACCTCGTTGCCATCAGCATCGACAGGTGAGACTCCGGGGAATCGTCCGCGATGTCGAAAGCCGCACGAATACGAATCCTCGCGTCGCCGAAGGCCCCTCCGTCGACTAATGCATCGAGGTCTCCCACTGCCGTTGCACCCCTTTTCCTCGGCTTTTATGTACGAGAAAAGAAATAGGAGAATGGGGAAATGGATGGGACTCGGGACAAAGGTCATTGAGAAGGGAACGAGAAAGAAAGATGAAGGGAAGGAGATGGACGAAATGATCCAGGTCACGTCGCCTAAGATGTCCCTCTTGGGGGTTTCCATTCCCCGACATCTTCCGATTGTCATTAACACCCCATTCTCACTTTTCCTCTCTCGTATCTTCTTTCTTTCTCTTCTCTTCTCATCATACTTTTCTCATCTCCCGACCTCTACAACTCTTCACGAGTGCCTATTACATGCTCGTACGATAAATCCCAACCCGTTTATCGCCCCAACGAACGAATCGGAGCGAATGATTTTTTTCCCGCACGTGTACATCTTGTAGGTATATAGCAGTGACGCACCCGATCAAATATGCAAAGCATAAGAACAGCAGTCGGGTGGTGATGACTATCGCATTAGTCTGGGTGATCTCAGCAGCAATCGGATCTCCGATCGTCCTAGGGCTCAACTACACTCCAAATCGAGAACTTAACATCTGCGCCTTCTATAATTCCGATTTCATCATCTACTCCTCTCTCTCCTCCTTTTACATCCCCTGCATCATCATGGTCTTTCTCTATTGGAGGATCTTCAAGGTGAGTCTCTTCGTGTCTCTTAGGTTTCCGTGACCGAGATCCTTTCAAAACATGCATGGCATTCATACGTGATATCTTGCAGGCGATCCGAGAGCGAGCTCGAAAGAGCCTGGCAGCAAGGAAATCCCGAGCACTTGTGATCGAAAATGCGGCTCACAAGGGAAAGCACCTCGCCAACGAATCCCGGTCTGCGCTGGACAAAACTCCTTCCCAGCCAGACGGAAGTGGAAGCCAGGTGCGTGAACTCTCATGTTTTCTTTCTCTCTCGCTCTTTTTGTTCCGACTTCCGTGACGGTTTCTCGGGTATACAAAAGATGAGGGATGGAGTCCTTTAAAGAGAGGGATGGGAAATAGGGGGCAGGTTCAAAAAGACAGGAATCGGAAGTTTCACACCGAGAGACACGACGGAGGGTCTGCAGAGATGAATGAGAACGTCTACGGCATTGGCTCGGATTGAAAAGCCGAGATCGGAAAGGGATGGAACGAATGAAGTGCCGTAAGAATGGAGAAAGAAAGAAACCCAGGGTGAAGGGCTCGCTTCGGAAAAGTCTCTAAGAGGAAGGAAGTCTATGCAGTATAGTGACCCGGAACAAGCCCACACATCAATCATGACATCCCTCTCCTCGAAAGAAAAGAGAAAAATTACGAGTCAAGCCCCGGTCGGAGAGAGATCCTTTCATTGGGGCTTCTGTACTCTTTCTCCGAGTACTCCCACATTATGCCTCGCTATGCATCAATTTCTTCCTGGAGGGCATGCATTTTCGTCTGAGGCCGAGAAAGAACCGAGGAACTAGGGCAGAGAAAAAGTACCACTATTAATTTCCGTGGGGATGAGGACAGATTTTTCAGAGGGTCCAACCCATTTAATCATCTCGCGTCATGGGTGATAGATGAATCCACATGGTGGAAAATGGGTCAAAGTGAAACGATTATAGACGAGATGGAAGGAAAGGGAGTTAAACGCACGTTCATATCATGGTAAGCTCATCATTTCTGGTTGGTGAGGCGAGATCTCTTTTCACCAGAGCGATCGTTCAAATTCTTGGCTGGGCTTCCTCGTTTCCCGCTTTCAAAGAGAGTTTAATTCACTCTGTCCCACATTTTTTCGGTATGTAGCTACTCGTAGCTGGTCCAGACTATCGCTGTGCCCTTTCAACGTCTGACATACATGTACATCAAATAAGCACATCCAGGTAAAATTATAACATCCATCCCCTGGATCTAGAAATCCAGGAGATAATTCGGAGCGTGACAGCAGTAAGAGTGCAGTCAGAACCGTACGGGCCAAGATACATAGACTCTATCGGTACATAGCCACTCTGGAGGGCCTTGGTACGGGCGTCTGCGAAAAATATTCAGGGCTGTGCCTCGTTCAGGATGGCAGACATGGTGCGCACGACCAAGAAGATAAGTGCGTTACTCTTGCCTGTTACGCACTCGGAAGAAGTGCTCAAAGTGCCCGCCGTCATTCTGTGCACAGGCACGTGAAATCGGTGAAATCGGTCGAAACACGGCTCACATTCTCACGCAAGGTTGAGTTCTCTCTCCGGCTGGCTGTGCTCGTGCCGACTGCGGCCAGCTGCACTGGTCCGCCACTTCCTCACTTAAAATCAACAGTTTCATTTCCAAATCGAGTCGATGGATTTTGATATAGCTTTAAACACATGGGCTCATTTGATGCGTTAGCCAGCCTCAAAAGCGCACGGCTTTACTGAACCAATTACGAGTAGCTAAAAGTTGAGAAAATGTTGAAGAATCTATCGGGACAGAGATTGTATCTCCTTTTGAGGAAGAGGCTTTTACGAAGAGGCTTTTAACTTCTGTTTCGGAACATAAATTCCATGCATTTTATACCACAGTTATAGCCAGATGTCAGGGGAATAATATAGGCCGGCATTATGCTTTCATCTGGATCCAGTGCTCAGTATTCACATCATATTTTGGTTCTGAATGGGTCATCGATTGCCCATTTGCTGTGCATGCTACCCTGGCCTTTAAAAAAAAAAAAAGAAGGTCCAAATGACAAAGAAGATGGCGGAAGTGGCCCGATGCGCCCAGAAGTAGTGCAGGGGTCTCACCGCGGAAACGGCTTGTGGTTCAGCTTCGCTCTTTTCAACTTCTCCGTGAATGAGAATACTTAGGAAGAGAGATTGTTTCTGCCCGAACAGCGAGCAGAGCAGATAAAAGCAACCACATATCTAGCCTTTCATACGTTCGCCAAAAATGCACAAATCGTCGAATGAGGTTCAGGTCTATGTCACTTGAAAGCAGCCACATTGCTATGAATGAGGATGAAATGGCTCCGCTCGGGCAGCCAGCATCCGACACAATCTCAAGCAGATCTTCATATGGAGATTCCTTCACTTCTCACCTTTTCCAACTTGCTTTTGGATGGTTTGTTATTCGTTTTCGGTGCATTTCTCATTGCTTTTCAAAACGGGAAGTGAATGTCGGCGTTCCGCATCGGAGAAATCCACCTTCTGGAAGAATTTTCGGCGTGCCGGAGATGGTGCTTGGCAGAATTTCCGAAAGGAAACATCATTTTCGGCATTCGCGTATCTGCATGTCGGCATTTCCATATCGCATTTCGTTGCGCGGAAGACGGAGAATGGCAGATCGACGACAAATATTCAATCTTGAAATTGTGTTCAAAGAAATTGGATGGGGAAAGCCACCGAAGCGAACAATTCGGTCGGATCACTGCCAGAAGGAAAGAAAGAGCAGCGAAATGACAGGCATCACGGGATTCGCTGCACATCCTCTAAAATCTTCTCTCACTTGGCATGAATGATAAGCTATTCAACGTGAGTGATGCATTCCGATATCGGGGAGCTTCGCATCTTCCGTAATCCCCTTCGTGCGGGTGGGTAATTCATTTTTGGTTCATTTTCCTTTTCTTTCATAATGAAAAGGGAATAGCGCTGCGCATCTGGAAATCGGCTTTCAGAAATAATTTTGGGACCGCAGAAGATGGTGCTCGGGAGGGTTTCTGCATCATTTTTGGCCATCATTTTCTTAATTTTAGCATTTTCCCAGTTATATTTCGTCATTTGGATGACATAAAATGGATAATCGGCGATAATTCATCCAGAAAATCGAGTTTCCGCTCAAATGACGAGATCCGCCACTCACGCGCATTTTGCAGCCAGATCGTACAACAAAAATGAAAGAGCTGAGAAATCATTAGCATATTTCGTCTTGCCAATCCACGTCTAGGGATGCTCTCGCGAGGGACGGGTAATAACTAGTTTTAAATCTTTGCCGACATTGGATCGTGGGTGGGACTTTAGGGCTTTCCTGCCGTCCCTTGAGTCCTGATTGGTTGGGAGATGAAAATCCATTCCCATTCGCCTCGTTAGAACGTCCCATAACAATCTCCTCGAAAAGCCTCAAATTTGCACCTACGATCCACTCTAGAGCAGAGAATGCTCTTTCTTGTCCTTGTTATCTTCATTCCCAACTGCTTCCACTTCGTTCTTGGCCTCCATTAACGGGATTTCAAAGGAATCTTGTTCGTCGATCCAGTTCTCGTGAATGAAAGCCGATTCCGATTTGTCGAAACTGCTATCACTTCTCACCCGCTTCCGTCGAGATTCGTCGCTTACAGAATGCAGGAAATGAGTTATAAGCCATCTAAAAGCGGGCAGCAAAAGGTGCGTATCGTGTTTATGTACAGTATAAACGCATCCCGATACGTACGAATGCGATGGGATACGTTTGCTAAGGTATGTCTGGATAGGAGGAGGTCGGCCTCTATCTCGTCTCATCGGAAGGAATCGATGACGTCTTCGTGATCTTTGCTGACGAAAATAGTTTTTCCTTTCTTTCTCCTCTCCAGATCACTTCTTGTCATCTTGAAAGGAAGACGTCATCCAGCTCTCCTTCTTCAAACAATCGGATCTCTCGACTAGACATCTGCGGCTTAAATTCGAGACGTCGGACACGGATCTTAAAGTTTTCCTTTCTGATGTCATCATCACAAAAATACATTCTCATCGAGATGGTAGGAAAAGTTTAGCGCGATGAAAACGCATTTCGAAGCCAGTTCCCCCTCCTCCCAGATCTTTCCTCCTTCATTTCTGGTAATTAATAGCTTCGCGATGACGTCATGAATTCCTCTGGGCTCCACTTCTCATTTCCGTTCCCGCTATATTTCAAGTTGAAAGTTTACGGGATCTCTCCAAGGGATTCTCTATTGAACTCTTGGCAAAGGACGGTCTCGGAAGAACAAGAGAAAGGAGGAGGAGGAGGAGGAGGGAATCCTCGCTGGGTCGACATGAAGGAATTGAGATCCAGAGGGAGGGGAAAGGGGGAAAATGAATTGAGGAATTTTGATGAAAGAGGATTGTGATCATGATCCCCGGTTCTTGGGGCAGGGAGACACGTGCCATTCATTTTTTGGTCATATCGAAGCCCCTGTTCGTGACAGGCATCGGGAATGGAAATTCCTTTTCCCTCCCTTGTCAGGAACAGGGCAAACAAAACCCTCTTCGTCTCTCGAGCGGAAAAACCCACAAGATTCCTCTAATGGATGATTCCTCCAGTAAAAGTGCACGAGCAGAGGAGGGAGGAAAGCGAGAGAAAAAGAAATCGTTGAAGAACGAGAGAAGAGATTCCACGGTTCTGTGATCCCGCAACTCCAAGATTATACACCTCCAGCCATAATTTAGCTCGAAGTGGCTCATGCAATGAGAAAATATGCCTCTTAGGGGCACTTTTCCGTTCTATAGGATGTGGGATATGGTGGCTGAAAAGAGAAAAGGAACTGGGGAGAGAGAGAAAAGGCAGGACCTCCCATGGGGTAGCTGGGAATCGAACTCTCGTCTTAATGATGATGACGGCGACAGACTCCCATCCTTTCTCCCCTGCCGGCAACCGCGTCACTTATTTAACGAGAAGGCGTCCCAGATGCATGAAGGGATGGCCAGATGGCATGAAAGAGTTGGAGCAACTCTTGCTAAAGTTGTCTGCGTAATTGAAAGGCCGTGTTCGTGATGACTTTTGAGAGCACGATGTGCTCCGTCATGAGGCTGAGACTGATAGAAAGAGGGATCTCATCTTTCTTCTCCCCCCCAAGCGTAATGAATCTAATTCTTGACTTCCATTTAGGGTCCCTCTCCTTGATGTCCGAGAGAGAGGTCCGGAAGAAAGTGATCGTGATTCACAAGGGAGGGAATTTTTCCGTATTGTTCCCGAATTTAGCTGCCCTTAGAAACAGAGGAAGAAGAGTAAGAGAGAGGGGCGGGACTGAGACTTAATTGTGGAGGATTAATAGGACTGCGGGTTGGACGCCATTCAAGGCATACGCCAGTCCTTGCCAGAGTGTCAGCCCTCTTATCTAATGGACCTGGAAAAGGGGATGACAGATTAATACATTGCAGATAAATCATTCCCCGAAGAGGTAATAGGGATAAAAAAGGAAACCGCTTTCAGTCGGCATCATTATTTCAAATCTTCCCTCAACCGCAATGAACCGCCGTCGGGGAATTTCTCCAAATGCCCTCCAGGGAAATAGTGATTGAATCCAATCAGACTCGTGTTGTCTGGATTCATTCGCTTGGAAAAATCAATCATCCCCTCGGAATAGAGATGGATTTTTGTGCCCAAGAAATGCTTCTCCTAGAAAGCCGCCTTATGATACAAGAAACAGACCAGGGAAGGAGGACGGCAATTCTCATGGGACCTTATCCATCTTATTCTAGGACGAGGAAGAAGAAGAGGAAGAAGACGAGCACGTGATCGTGAACGAGGCTGCATGCACCGAATTCATCCCCATGGCACAAGTCAATCATCATCCTCGAGGAGAAAAGTCAGTTCTTTAAATATCCCCATAAAGATGGCATGTCTTTTATGGCTGCCATAGTCATACTCCGAGACCCTACCAGAAAGAACCAAAGAACCAAAACGAGGCTAAATGGCCTCAGGAAATGTGTCTCTAGCGTGCAAAGGAAAAGAGATCCCATCCATGGGGTTTCCTTTTCCCATCGTTATTTACCTCGTATATGATGGCTATGATGTGATGAAAGGGGTGAAGGAGTGGGGAAAGGGAGAAATGGAGGCACTCTGGATTCTGGAGTTGGGGCATCGGAAGGAGGAAAACGGGATTCAAGTCCCAGTCCGGACACCTCACTCTTACCACCCAAGCTTCCCCCTTCAACTGTGCAGGTAAGACCTACCTCTTTTTTCATCTTTTTCTATCTTCGTCTACTTTTTCTTCTTATACTCCTCCTATCCCTCCCTTCATCAGTCTAACAGCCGGGAATTAGTCTGCAAGCTGATTGCGTGACACCAGGCAGCCTTTACAAGGCAAGAACAAGGCGGCTCATCTAATAATTATTTCATCGACCGCAAGGGTTGCTTCATCCTTTTGAACGAGCAATACAGTAATACTGGGCATGACTTTCCTTACGTAGGATAACTGAATGGCATTACAGTGAATGATCCTTCATGGATTCTATCGATGGATGAGATTCCTCACGTCATCTCAGAATGGTCTTTCTTTCGCTGACTGGACACGAGAGGGAGCAAGGCGGAACACCCTCATCCTCAGAATTTTTTTTGGGGGGGGGAGGGGAGAGGAAAGGAAGGAGCTAGACTAGGAGAACCGAGTACCCCTTGCTTTGATTCCAAATAATGTCTACTCTGCAACAGATGGAATCTCTGCTACTCTGCAACAGGATAGGCTATAGATGCGCAGCCCGCTATTTCCTGCTTTCCGCGAGACCGATTAGGGAGACGGGCAAGTACAACTTTCAGGGTAACATTCAGAATCTTTTTCGATGTGTCATCGTGAAGGACGAACCAACATGACTTAGTAGGAGTAAGATCGGTTCCGTGGCATTACATCCCTCCGTATGACGATGTCAAATCGTAATTCTGCATCAAACTGTCCCTGGCTTCTATCACCCTACTGCTCTGCGGAGTCATCGTGCTGTTTGCATTCATGTTTACTTTAAAGGCAATTTGATTCTTTCAGGGAAGAAGCAAAAGCCCCCTGGGATTAAAAAAGAGACCAGGAAGTCCTGGTTCACCTGCTGGGAGATTCACAATCTACAAAGTCCACAACGCTAGCAAGAGGAAACGGGAAAAATCTTCGGCCAAGAAAGAAAAAAAGGCGACGAAGACCTTAGCCATAGTTCTAGGTAGGCCAAAGATCACTCCATCCATCGACTAGGTCATTGACTTGACGACAGATGGCTTTATGGCTTGCAATTCGATGACATGGTCCAGAGCTCTGCATCCTAAGTAGACGTTCAGTCCCATCGAAAAACTCATTACGTCTTCTAGGCGCCGTCTATACTATGATACACTATATCATACGCGGTCGACTGGATATGGCTACAATAGTATCAATGACCCAAGAAACAGGCAATGGTTATGGTAGGGAGAGGGAGGAAAGGAGAAGGGGAAGGGAGAAACCTATATATGTATGGGAGTAGGAAGAAGAAATGAGATGGGCTTCTCAATGCAATGGAAGGAAGAAGAAGCCCGTATGGAATGGGGTTAGACGGCCATTGTGTGGCATGAAGGGAAGAAAAGCCCTACATTCGAGCAAAGGTCTCATTAAAAGGAACTTCTCCAAAGCCCCGAACTCTGGCTATCAAATCGGAAATGAGAAACATCCATCAACGCTTCTCTTTTGTCTACACTCTACACTTTATCTGCACCGACCGATCGCTACTTTTTCCTTTTCTCCTCTGCCGGTCTCAGATTAGACCTGCTTGATTGACAAAAAAGCTGGAAATGGAGAAAAAGATCTCGTATTCCCATTCTCGACCTTCCTTATCTTAGGGTAATAGCATAACGGAGGACCAGAACCCTGGAACTCGTGAAGTTCCAGTCGCCTTTTAATTTCCTCTCTCGTCTAGAAGTCCTGTCTCGGTCGAGCACAAAGTTAATTATCTATTTGTCAGTCACTATGTAGTGGCAGTAGTACAATCTAGTCATCATGTTCGTGGCTAATTTTAGTTTCAGTCTCATATCATTCATTTCAGTCAGCTTTCATAATTTTATCCATTCTATCGTCATTTTCGCAGAATTTTTTCGTCTTTTCTTCACTGAAAATGAATTACCGTTTACCTGCGAATGGCAATTCATCGAGCACCCGACTTCCATGATGTCACTCTATGCAATAGCATCATGCAAGGTTGTCGAAGCTAAACAAAAAATTCTTAAAAATTTTATATTTTGAGAATAAAATGCATTTTCGTTCCAGTCTCTTGCTTTCGTCAAATTCTTTTTGTGTAATTTGAATGAAGGTGACGAACACCGAAACCGATTTCATTGGAGTTCTTTTCATATTCGTCTTCTTTATTCTTTGATGAGACCTACCAAGTTTATGAAAATACGAATATAATGCCTACTGCATCGGTCTGAATATGAGATGTCTCCAAACTTTTTTCCCCTAAATTTGCTTCATTTCACAATAGCAACCGTGAACGGACGAATCTCGAACCAGACCAATTTTTTTTTTGCGATGGTCGTTATGCGTCGGCGAGTCTATTCACGGTAGGAAAAGCTCGTTTATATTCCGACCAATACGGTACAGTTGATATTCTTTAGATGAGAAAAGAGCCCCAAAATATGCTTACCTAACTTTCCTCAACTTTCTGCGGTGTGGGACTCCCTAGGGGAGTGGTTCTTGACCCCTGGGTCGCGATCCAATTTAGGCCAAGCCATTTCGAGTGGGTCGCCAAGGGTCTCCAGTGAGTGTCCGAACTTTCCTTTATAGTCTAGGTCACTCATGCTACCCAAACTGCCTTTCCTCCTATCAATCTGTAAAATGCTAAAAACGGCAGTCTGGATTCTAAGCTTATAATAACCATGCCGAGCTAGCATTTGAGTCGCAGCCAGAAAAGGTTAAAAACCACTGCCCTAGGGGAAGGGGGGAGTGCGGTGTCCGAGTTTCACCTTGTCTAACGTGAAACTCGTTCACCGGATTCCGAGCATTGGAAAACGTTCGAGTCACCTCATTCTTTGCTACAATCTGCGTCACGAATTTAATTTCTATCCAAGAGCATACGAAGTCCATATTCGTGCATCTCCGCTTGATATCAGCGATCACGTTCTTCAAAATCTGCGATTCCCGGTAATGTCTTGCTATTTCGAGCGATCGCAAAGCGTTTCATGTCGTATGCACTTGAAAAACCAGACAGCTCCTTTTGCGCTACCTCGAGGCAACGCTGATGAGCTACGTTCGGTAGAAAAGGGAGTTTTGGGATCCAAGTTTTTATTTCGACATAAGACGAATTGATTAATCGCGAGATACACGATGCATGGTAAATGTATTGTGAAAATGAATTTTCTTTGCGTGGGTGGGTGAAGCGAGACTGGTTTTGCGGAGGCAAATGGAGATCCATCACCACAAATCACCACCTTCAAGCTCCACAAAATTCAATGTAAAATTCGTACAACTCGCAGTGGAAATTCGTTTTTAAGTACTTCGGAGAGTTTGATTCTCGGAAAATTGAGACACTCCCATCGGTTTGAAAGAGAACGATGAATGCTATCATCGTGGAATACTAACAAACGATTTCAATTCAGTTCATTTTCAGTATGCAATTATTTTCTCAGAAATAAATTAACATTCGAGAACTTTTTAATAATCCTCCAAGCTGCATTCATCATGCTTCAACGCTCTGCGGCATTTCCAGGTGCATGGATTTCTGATGCAGCACGAACCACACGTGCCTGACAGGAACTCAGCACGAAGGGTTGTTTGGAGGACATTTTTGCGCCATCTGATGCTGCAGCGTCATCGTAGTCTGCACTTCTCGCGTCATCACGAGGGCGAAGACTTTGGTTAAGCAGATCTGTTGGGTAATCAAATAGGAATACGTATATTATCGGGTGTCGGAACGTGTGAGAACTTCTAAGCTTAACCACATTGGAGTCGATGTAGAAACATAACTTTCAGCATTTTTTCTAAATATTCCCCCTGGTTTCTACATATGGTCGACGCTCAGTATAACGAGCCTCTAAACAACTAATTTTTTTTTATAGTTTACATTGAATTTTACAGACTTTTTTCAGTTCCGGCCGTTTGCTCATTCGCATGCATGTTGAAAAGTTTCTCGATAAAGAAGTTATGCATAACAAATTGATTTCACGAAGTCATTTTCTTTCGAAGGATGAAAACTGTTCCATATTACCAAATTTAAATCTGCTGCACACGTCAGAACTGCTTTCTTTCCTGCATCCATAGAAAATCTTATCTCGTTTCTAAATTTAGCGCGTCCCACTCACTTTCCGATTTGAGTGTGGCCGAGGGGAGTAAGGGAACGACGTCAGTCAGCCGTGATCTCGGAATATTAAAGATCGGGGTCGGGTCTAGTCCGAAATTCTGCTCTTTCCCGCAATCGAAGCCTTCGACTATCTTCGGCCGTTTTTCAGTCAAAAGGCCGAATGTTGAACCGAACATCGAGTGCTCTGCACACCACGGCTCAAATAGGAAGACTATTTCGGACTTTTTTTCCGATGAATAGACGGCGTCGTGACTCGTCCGGTTTTTATTACACCTACGTAAGTACATACTGCTGTGCATGCCCATTTAGGTACATCCATAACTAACATCTTGAAAGCTGTATTTTTGCAATATGACGCGGGCTTAGGCCTTCGCATTTTTTCATGAACGGACAACGACTTTTTTTTTCTTGTAATAAATGACATGACAGAGGCCCACAATGCATTAAAAATCACTTTGTAAAAAGGCCCTTATGAAAAAAGGTGGAGGGAAAGAAATCCTGTGCTTCTGCCAAAAATACGTTTTCATGAGATATTTTAGAAAGTGATTTTTAATATCATTGCAACTAGTCAGTCCATCACTTCTCCAGGAAAGCAATACTGGATATTCTGCATCGGATTAGGATATGTGCTAATTTTGGTAGTGGACATATTGAACGATGAGTGAAAGTTATGTGACAAGAGTGTCTGAGTGTTAACACTAAGTAGACTCAACGTTGTCGAGGTGCAATAGCGAATCCTCGGGGTAAAAAATATGCTAATAATTTCCTTCCTCTTGGATAACATGTACTGGTTCACTTTTTCTTGGGGAACAAAAATTACCGGTATATTTTTATTCTAGGAGGGGGGGGGTATTAATGTAGGTAATTACTCCGTCAATTGGGGAGGGAGAAATGCAGAAATTTTGTTGTTTTGTGATACACGGACACCTCTGATAAAATAAGATTTTTTCACAATTATTAAAACTTTGTTTTTCGGCTTTTGGTCAGGTTTTGACGGATTCTGAACCACTGTGCATTAGTACAACAGCGCCTCTTTTATTTCTTATGGTTTGACAAGCATGTGATATTGGAGAAACGATGCCATTCAGTCATTTTCCTCGTGACTTTGTGAAGCTTCCTGCTCAAGGTCATATGATGGGTTGTGAGGGTGCATAAGGGAAGCTCTAATAAGAAAAGGATCTAATTATCAGAATGAGTGCACGCAAGAGACATACCATAAATACGGTTCCTGTCCTTGCACCAAAGTCATTCCTGTTGTAATGACCTTTGCGTGCGCCGGCCGGTTTCTGTGTGGGTGTGCATTATCTTATATAGCATTATCTTCAGTCTCGTTGACACACCGCACACATTATCGACAAGAGAGGAATAGAAAGAGTGAACCTGCCCGAAGGCGTCATTACTACCAAAGAGGGGGAGGAAGGGAGAGTATGGCCAGGAGCGTTTGCCTCGGTGTTTGAAGGCAACTTGAGATAGACACAGACATGAAAGGAAAGGGAAAAGAGCCTCGTCCCCTAGCGACAAAGGGAGATGGAATTATGGAAATGCCTTGGTAGGATATCGGCTCTGCATAACCGGATCCTTTCACGCCCATGCCTTCCTTCCTTTCCTCTTTCGCTCTTTCTCCTGTCTGACTGCAGATCGAGAACGAGATGACAAGGTGATTATTTTGCACGACAGGCCCGGCGCGGAAAACCTTCTGAACCACGAAAATTATAATCGCGGCCTGTCATTCGCAGAGACCCGCCTCTCCTTGTCCTCTCATCGTAAAAGGGGGGAGAGAAGTAGACAAGACTACTTGGACCCCCGAGTTAAGTCTTCTAAGACAGTTCTCGACTCTCCTTTCCAGTTGTCTTTCTGTTGTGCTGGGTGCCATTCTTCACGTGCAACATCCTGGATGCGATCTCGATCAAATTGGAAGCAGATTGGAGCCCAGGGGTGACGTTGTTTCTTCTCACCACTTGGCTTGGCTACATCAATTCCTTCGTAAACCCCATCATCTATACCATCTTCAATCCAGAATTCCGAAAAGCCTTCAAAAAAATCCTCTCCGAACCCTGCAAGTAAGGTGAGTCTCAGGGAAACATCATTAGGGTGGGTCAACAAAGAGGGGGTCGGATGTCCATTTACAGCTCGGCCCACCTTTGTCTTTACATAAGAGCGATGAGTTTCCTTTCCCTACCCCATCAACTCCTCAATCTCCGCGTGCATGCCTACATGTACATTACGGGATGAAATGAAGAAGGATTCGATTAGATATCGGAGGGTAGGCCAATGGGAAGAGAAAAGGAGAATCGTGTACACATCCATGACTCCCTCTTGATTATATTCCCTCCCGAGCTCACACTTAATGGTTGCAGCCTCTCTCTTCCTCTCCTTTCGAATCATTAACCACGTCCCAGGGAATCCAGCCGAAGAGAAAAGAAAAGAAAAGAAAGAGAAAAAAAAAAAAAAAACCACAAAAAAAACCAAAATGTGCGAAAAAAAAATGCTGGCCGACTCTCGGCCTTGCCATGTGGAGGGAAAAGAAAATGGAGCCTTCGGCTAGAACTGTTCGAGCAAGAGAGAGAGCAGAGCATAAAGAAAAAAAGAATAGAAAGAGAAGAGCGAAGAAAGTAAATGCATACAAACGCCAGAGCGGCATCGGCCATAGTCAGAAACTCATATCGATTCCATAGCGCTCAACGGTAGTGTAGACGAAGGTATTACCGAGCATGGGATCGTTCGGTGGCACGCCCTAGGACCTTCCCCCGTCCCGCTCTAGTCTTCACCCACTCGATTCGACCACTGATGTTTATTCCTGGTATGTATGTGCATATGCGTGCCACAAGGGAGTCTTTTGTCATGACCATCAAGGACAAAGCCCTCAATGCCAATAGCCATTATGCTTCACTGCATGGCTTCGCATGTCTCCGTCCTGACATTCCCAAGAATCCGTGTCTTTTTTTTTATTTTCTTCCTCTCCATCTTCTTCAGATGTTCCCTCGTCCATCTGAGTCTCTCTTCTTTTGCTTGCTCTCTCGTGTGCCTGTTCATGTTCTTCAGTCGTCTAGCCTCGAGTTTAGTGCCATCTCCAGATGAGTTCATTATGGACATGTGTCCTTGCAGGCTCATCCAAAGCTGGAGTGCTGGGAGTGGAGCCTGGCGCCTGATCTTGCTCATTGATCTTCATGCACCACGTAGTTCGGTGTCGTGCACCCTAGGTCATCCGGGAATTGCAGTTTCGAATCAATAAATGATGCCTTATTTTCCTTTCTCTCCCAGGCGTACCTGGCTCATTTGCATTCACATTCCAATTCCCGAGTGAAAAGAGAGTGTCATCTGCAGGTGGTCGTCCTTGCGTTATGTTAATTATCTTCATGCCCCATGGTAGGGCTGGGGGAAAATGCTCTCTCTAGAGTCCATCCTAGGCTCCCTGGCATAGGACGCCCTTGGATGACGTCATAAAGTCCCAATACAAATTTGCTCTATTTGGTGAAGGTCTTTCAAGTATGCTTCGAAGACAATCGGGAACTGCTTTCACTGTCAAACTTAAATCCCCGCATGCAAATACACTACTTATGTGGCAAGATAGGGGATGGGAATCGATGGGGTATGGTGTTTGAGGACGGATCGCAGGTCAATATTGCGTTTAGCTTCGTAGGTCTCTGAGCCCCTCTCGATTGTTTAATTACAGGGCAGAGAGAGAGAGATGAGGAGGAACAGTGGTGCAGCCTTGAGAGAGGGGTGGGGGGGGGACTATGCAACGCTCTGCAGCCTCTCGGGGTCAAGGAAAAAGGAAGGGGAAAGGGGGAGTGGATGGGGTGAGGGACTCTGTTGGTAACTAGCTCCCGAGGCAGGGGACCCTGAAGCCAACCAAGTCGGTTGTTTATTCCGAGTGCAAGCCCCAGCGTGCTTGGGAGATCCTTGGGCATTAAGCACTCCCGTCTCGAAATGTGACACGTTAAAGAATCTCAGTCGTGAAGGCTGAAACCGGGTAACGTATCCCCGGATTAGCCATGATGACCAAATTGAGTCTCCTCATCTCTTAGATGAGGTTGATGGAATGGAGCTTTGATGGGGCGCGAGGGTTAGCTGGGATTCCAGGGTAAAAGCGCACTCATGGTCCTTGGGCTACTTGCGCCAAATAACGAATCGTGTCTCTCTATGCCGTCCTACAGGGATATATGAACGAGGCCCAAAATTCAAGACGCAAACATCTGGACAATGCCGCCCCTAGCTAAATGACGTGCGTTTCTTCGGTATTCGGCTGAAAGAATGAGAAAGCCAGACGGTTTTGAGAATTGATGTCAGTTGGATAATAAGGTTTTCAATCGCGACCTTACAAAATGTTAGATCTTTAAACGATTTTAGACTTTAGATTTAAACTGGAGTCTAAGAGCTGACAGTTTCGTTCAATGTCTTGCAGTTTGTAGTTTTCATGGACGAAGTAGGGCATCCCGTAGAACCTCTTTGATCCCCCATAAATGTGACCCTCTCAACGCCACTGTAGAGGAGACAGACCAGAAATTATTATTATTTTTTTATATAAAAAAGACAGGATATACTGTACTGCGGACACATAAGACATATTGCTATACACAGAGGAAGGGGGTGTCTGGTTGGCACAGACACCACAACCAAGATCACAGCCCCTCAGACAGGGATGCTCCTCTACTTACGTAGCAGCTTACGTACCCTCGGCTAATGACTGGCTCGAGTGATTTTGAAGGTGTACTGTACCCGTATCTCCTTGACGTATCACGCAGAGTAGCTTGTATATTACTCTACATTAAGCAGACACTTTCCATGAAAGCAGGTGGGTCTCCTGTCGGCGGAGGTAGAGCCCGCCGCCTCTCGGATCTCGCCACCCGGGTTTCACTCGGAAGCCGCCGAACTCTGTAGGATAGAGAGAAACCACTACAGCCTTCTACGCATCAGTGCCATCGGAGTTCATGTGAACAGGATGAAGAGGCTAAAAACGGGTCCGTGTTATATTCATAGCAGAGGCTGTCGTCTCTTCCCATTACTATGTGACATCATACAAGGTAAGAACAGAGAAAGGGCGTAGATCAGCAGAGTTTGTGCAACTCGTGTTACAAATAGCTGTCACGTTTGGTCTAAGTCGGCGGGATCTGAGAGGAATGGAATGGCTATTATCCCTAGTACCATATAACACCGAAACAACATTGATTCAATGTTGATCCAATGTTATATGCTACTAGAGATGAATTCTTCATATCGTGAACCATTTTAAGAAATGAAACAGCAAAGAAAGAACACCATTTTAACAGAAACTGCGTCAACTCTCTGATAGAATGATGAGAAAATGGGTCTAGCGCCACGTTTTGTCTATTTTCCAGAAGTCTCAGACTCTCCCTCGCCTTTATTTAGCGACGGATCTTCCCGCCATCTCTTCGCTACTACTAGAAGTGCGTTCGCTCAAGACGATCCATAGATGCCGCCTCCATCCAATTTGTGGCTCATTCTCTCTCTCTCTCTCTCTCTCTCTCTGGGCTTAACTTATCGTAAAAAGTCATATCCTTCAGAGTCTAAGATGTGACACGTATTCTGTGCTAGAAGTCCTCTAGAAGTGTTGACGTCGAATAAAGAGATATTCCTTCGCGACTCATGAACGGATATCTCTTCGTGTGAAGTTATCAACTTTCAAGGATTTAACGATAGAATTATCACGATATTAGGAAATTATAAATTCGAACAGATGCAAATGCACGTACACTTCCATTGGAGAGTGTGAAAAAAAAATTGTCACATCTTCGGCTTGTAAACAGAGATTACATACCTGTACTTAAATCCTATCTGAGCTTCGTACAAAACCCACAATGTGTCTTAGTTCGGAAAATCATTTTTAAAAATCCAGCAAGGGAGAGAAATTTCTTATTTGTTCAAAATATTGCAAAAGGAACATCAAAGAACATGCATTCAAAGAAACGCATGAAACACAGTCGGTGACTCGAGACAAGAAAATATCTTTTTTTATTCCAACTGGAGAGGAAGGTAAGCATGAATTTTTAATATGAGACCTTCGTCGATCGGGTCGGGGAAGAAAAAGAAACCTTTGCCGCTTTGCATTCCTATCCTAGTAATCGATCACAGAAGAAAAATGGAATCCTTGGGATGAGCCGCTATCCTCTCAAGGGAGGGAGAGAATTTTTTTGAAGGCTTTCCGGAATTCCGGGTTGAAGATGGTATAAATGATGGGGTTGACGAAGGAGTTGATATAACCGAGCCAGGTGGTGAGAAGAAACAGCGTCACTCCTGGGCTCCAATCAGCCTCCAATTTAATCGAGATCGCATCCAGGATGTTGCACGTGAAGAACGGCACCCAGCACAACAGGAACAGGGCTAGATAAAAAGGAAGAAATGGACACGATTAAGTGATTCCAATCGATTCGGCGCCCCCCCCCCCCCCCTGTTGATACTGGCCTAAGTAGATCCGACTCGCCTCTGAATTATCATTTTATTGCAAAATCTTGAAGTGGTACTACGACAAATGCCACAAAGACCTAGGGCTCAATACCTGAAGATGCGCCGCTGTCGTTGATTAATTATTCTAAGTAAATCCGCCATAGAGATCAAATTACGACATTCGAGGTCACTTTGACCTACAACGTTGAACTGATAGTGAGATTCGCTTTAGAAATTTAGATGGTGGGAATTCTCAGGGTTGCACCCATGCCGTGTCTTCTTAAGAAGTAACGGCCAAAGATCCTGCCCCGTCGTCGAATGAGACTCCATTATTCATAATCTCATCATTTCCCAACTTTCTCCAGAAGTTCCTATGGAGGCACGAGTTCCTCGACGAGGACATGAAATATAGAGTGCTGTTTCTTTCGAATTTCCGCGTTCCTTCGGAACAACTCTTCAAGAAGTATCTTAATACCCATGCGTATAGTCTAAGGTCAATCGACTTATCGATCCAAAGCCAGGTGAGAGTTCATTCTTTTTATGTCGGGTCGTAAGTGCCTACGTATATCATAGAAGATACGATCAAACGCTGACCTAAAACAATGGCGAGGGTTTTTGTTGCTTTCTTCTCCCGTTTAGCCGTGGATTTCTCCCTTTTCAGACGGCTGGCCTTGTGCACCTTGTAAATAGTGAATCGACTCGTGCATCTTTTCCGCTTCTCTTCCTCTCTCTTCTTGTGCTTATGGATTTTCGTCTGATCCTGCTGCTGCTTCTTCTTCTTCCTCCTCTTCTTCTGCTTTTCCTTTTCACCCTTTCCTCCTTTCTCCATTTCGCATCTTTCATCGACTCTGCCCTGAAAACCATTTATTATTCCATGATCGACTGAGGATATTGGCAATGATTGAAACGCCCTCGAGGCCGTTCATCAAGTCTCTATAATGAGATATCTGACGAAGTATTTAGGATAATTATCTTGGGGAGCACGATTTATTATTAATCTCTGAGCCTTACAGTGTGAGATGATGGTTCGTGTTCCACGTCTTCCACGATCCCACTTGGGGCGTAGCCGGAATCTCCTCCTCCGTTTGGAATGAACATCGGTGGGCTAAGGGAAAAGAGAAGATGGACTTTCACGGAGGATGTCTGTCGTAACCATCTTGTTCACTGGACCGGATGGCGAATGAGGGACCCCGCGTCTGACTTTGACAGAGCATGAAGACGGGACCTCAAACTGGACTGCAAACGGTGCCGTCGGGTAATTTCCTTGCAAGAATCTTAAAGCTTTCGAATATATTACAAAGCAGAACCTATTACGTTGAGAGCTCTAACTTACGTTCTCTGTTCCTCAGAGACCACCGCTACCAGAGTGAGACTCTCGTGTCGATCATGAAGACTCACATATCTACCTGAGGTCTGGTCGCGAAGTCGTCACTGACCTGATCTGAGGCAAATTTATATGATGATCCTCGTTCGGCAGCCTCTCAAGCCAATTCGGTACACTTGAAGCAGTTTTCAAGTAAAATGGTGCTCCAACCCAACAGTGGTAGTTCAACAGTGCATGAACCCTAAGGGTTCATGTATGCAGGAACTTTCCCCGAAAACTTGAAGTTGGCACCCGCCAAAAATAGTCCAAAGTCTTCTGGTAATCTCTATAACATTTCTTACAAGTTTAAGAATGTGAAACATACTTATAGATCGAGATCAAGAAAGATCAAGAGCCCAAAATTGTGTGGTCTCTTGTTCCTTGGCCGAATTTCCGTTCGGGGAATTTAGGGGGAAAGACGTTCATAGTACTGGTGCATCGGTCTTTGAAAGCCACAAAAGAGAAAGTATTTCCTTTTGCAATATGTATGAGTATCCGGACATTCTCCAAGATGATAGACGTCTGGAATACGATTAGATTGTAATAAAGATTACTGTCCTTATGAGAATCCACAAAGGAATCATTCATCCCCTCTGAATGGGAGATTATATTTCGTATCAGAGGAAAGTTATCGGCTTGAAGGGTTGAACTAAAAGTTTCTCTCAAATTTTCTGCATTCTTCGATAAACGAAATGGGATTGAACCGAATTGAAAGGAGGAAGTATGAGAAACGTCAGAGGGCAAATATTGTAAAAGATCCGAGAGGACACTCGATGGGAAACGTTGAAGACGAATGCCGAAGATTGAATCTGACTCTTCCTTTTGCTTCCTTGCTCAAAGCCAGAAGGCTAGGCACACCCAGCTGTTATATGTTTTTAAATGAAACCCGCGGATTTCAAAGGAAGCCCTTTATATGCCTCAAGACTCGGCTAATTGCTCCGGCTGACGCGCTCTCTGTCTGTCACTCTCTCTATTCCATTCGCTCTGCTGCTCATTGGATTTATACTCAACCCAAACATTCGCCATCCAAACTTCCGCCCGTTGACTATCCTAACAGGCTCATTTGCAGGCTGTGCCCATCAACGAGTCTTCAATCCCTTCAGGCCTCCTAAATGAACGTTTGCGTAAGCGATTGGTAGTCTCAGATGAGGTGGTGTTTCGTTTAGGGATAGAAAATACATGCAAGATGAATGGATAATATAATTTGGGAGTGTACAGAGCAAAGAAGAAGTGGATGGGAATGGTCCGGTGGCTCTTCCCTTTTTGACAAGGAGAAAAGACGGAGGAGAAGAGACTATAGTGAGTTTGTCCTTTCCCCTGGCAGCATCCTCCAGACTTTTTACTCTCTTATCTTCCTCTTTCTTCTTCCATCCTCTCGTTCTTCCCGTTCGATTGTATCAACAAACCGGGCCGGGCTCTTCCTATACTCCTTACTTCGAACGTGACCGATTCAAACGATGCGAAATCCTGAGACGAAGAGTGAGAAGAATCGGGAGGAACTCATCTCGATATTTTCGGCTCGAGGATTCCGGCGAACGAGATTGACTCTGTTGCGAGTACCCGTGAGTTTCGGCCTTGACTATTAGGCCTACAGTTGAGCATAAAAAAGGGTCTTATCATGTCTTTGTGTCGCGTTTCTTGCGTCTTTTTTATCACTGCCATTCAATGACCACTGTCTCATTACAGATCGGCCTTTTTACGACTTACTTTTCGCCTGTTAAACGTCAGGGAGTGAATTAGGAGAGAGATCTATAGAAGAGAGAAGGGAGAGGCATGCGAGAAGAACACGAAAGGAAATCGCCATAAATTACCTTCCTCTCCCAGCCTAATTGCGTCCATGACAATCCTCTACGTCTTCTGTAATTTCGATTTATGGAAAAGGGTGGGTGAGAAGGAAAAAAAGAGTCAATGAGGCAATGTAAGCACGTGAGCACGTCTTGGCTTAACACAGTTCTTGGACTCTCGTTTCAGCTGATAATTCATCTATCAGCGGCTAGATCCGTTTCTGGAAATGTACCGGTGCGACGATGGGTGGGTGTTTTTAAAAGTTTTCCTTTCACTTTTCGGGACTGTTGGGAGAAAAGGAGAATTGTCTATCCTCCCCTTCTACTTTAAGGTGATTGTGACAGAAAGCAATGATGCGATAAAATCGCTTTGATTTTTTTAATGCCCCTATTCCCATTCCATCGAGACCCCTTGCTTTCCGAATCCCTAAGATTGCTTTGTCCCATTCTGCCTACTACACCTAATTCAGTGTGTCACCGAAAACGCTAATAATCTCCTACTCGTTTCACAGAAGTGTCCTTTATTGCCCCTACTTTTCACAGCTCTCGCGAAAAAAAAAACCATGAAACCGAAATTCCCATGACGACACTGTTTCGCTGCCATTTTGGCCAAGGATCAAGAAAACGCATGCAATGACGAGGTATAACGTGGCAGTTCTGTTCGGAAAGGTTCGTCGCCGAGCCTAGTAAGTCAGAACTGATAAAAACAAAATGGAAAATGTAACGCGACGATGGAGATCAATGTCGGAACGCGTGAAACTCACAGGCAGACTAAAAGTTGGTGGATTTGGATAGCTTTCTCAGGTACTGGTACAGCTAAGGTGACACATCGGGAGTAGATAGATGGAAATATGCCCCCTTCTGTTGTTCATTTCAACTTTGTGGCAGACACATGATATATCTATAGTAGATGCCGCTTATTGTGATCGCTGGTTATTGTTATCAGTCGCTTAATGTTATCGAATTTCCTTGCACCAACTTGATCACAATAAGGTTCATCAGTCTTCGAAATCGAAGACTGAACCTTAAATAGCCCGTTCATTGACTTTTCCTTGAACGTTTTGGTACTTGTGTTCATCCATTATTAGAATGACTGAACGGAATGAGACGTAGGCCAAAAGTCGGGGAGCTATTATCAACGTGTCACTACGATACAGCCAGTTTGGTGACCGCCTGATTCCCCGAATTTAATTCACCAACTACAACTCGCCGAATGTTCAACTCGCTCACCGTTCATATCGCCGATCGACAGGCATCCCTGCGCTCTTCGGGACCGAGAGAATGTTCGTCACTCCCCGCATCCTGTGTGGCACGTTAAAGAGATCCCCAATGATGAATCTTATCGAACGGATAGCGTGTCCTCCATCCACGGAGTAGCCATCCGGTTCAAATGGAGTTAACGGGCATGGCTGCGACGCGCCCTCATTGTGATCTGAGCGCCTGGCGTCAGCCGGCCCAAAAACTTTGGCCATACTTTGAAGTTTTTTACGTTATGTGCAATTTTTTTACATAGTCAAATGAGGAGTTCCCGTTCATCATCGGCGTGGGAATTCTAAGTTGTTCGGTTGTGTTATACAAAACGCTCTGGAAGTCGAGACGAACGAGACGAGAGTTTGATCCTGGGGTGATTGGAAGACCAACAGCTCGCGTAAATAAGCAATTACACGAAAATTACTCAGGATCAAACTTCCGTGCCAGAGTCAATCTCGGGTTCTTTGTCAAGACTGGGTGAAACCCAATTACATGGCTCAGTTTGGATTCGGGGAAGATGAAACCCAGACAGATTCCCTTCCCTTCATCTATCTATTGATTTACGCTTAAGGATCTCATTGAAGCGGAACTTAAGTCACCAGCCGGGTCATCTAATGCTAATGCTCCAATAATAAGGTCAACTGGAAGAAGCTCCTGCTGCAGCTCTGTTCGAAGTCAACAATTTAATCGGAGAGTTGAAAATTCGATAAATTAAGCATTCCCGTTGAACTATCGGTGAGTTGTAATTCGGCGAGATGACGGGGAACCCCCAATAGACCAGGTGGTGCTCACCAAGGGCTCGTTAGAGTAAGAGTATGTTGGGGATACCTGTGTTTTGTGGGGAGGAGGATACAATGAGTAGAAACGTCAGTGGGGAACGTGGGACATCCTCGATATTGTTCTTCTCCCATCTCTTCCTCCGTTGCCCTTTCCTAGGAAAAAAAAAGAAGAAATGAAGACATCGTAACGTCACTGAAAATGAGTTTCGTTGAGTTTCCGGAAGCTACCAAGCCGAGAATGTGTGGCTGATACAAAGATCTTTCAGATCCTACAGTTTTTCCCGTAATCTCCCAGAACGAGTTTTTTCATAGAAGAGAGTCTGGTTACCGAGTGCCTCCTTACTAAGTAATACTAATGGGCTCCCTGTGAAACCCAAATGTACTCGGATTTTTTAGTATTAATACCGAAATAAACTTGGATTCGTATTTCAATGCTTACCTCATTTTTTCACCCCCTGACACCCCTTGACTAATAAAACACTTACAGCATAATAAAGACCATAACCCTTTGTGTTTGTATACAGTGTAAGCGAACACAAAGGAAAACCCTGTTTCAGTTCTTGTAGTCTACTATGATTCCACAACACATCGGTGTCAACAATAATTAACTCAATGTTGCAAGGACGATGTTGCCACGTCAACAGGAAACGAAATTATACATCACAAAGGAGAGTGGGAATATGAGGGAGAATATAAGAGGACGTTAGTCTATGTTTAGAATTCTGAATGACAAAGCGAAGTTTCCAAGAAGGCGATTGGCTGGCCTTGCACCCACTTGGAATGCGAGGATTCAGACACAAGGTCATCTGTCCCTGGCAGGAGGAGGGCGTGATGTCCGTCGAAGTAAACGAACATCTTTCTGTGAGTTTATACTCATGGGACCAGGAAATGCCTTCGAATTTCAAATTAGCGGGTATTTCGATTCATCCATTTTATAAAGAATACGAATCGTTATCCTCTCGGACGGGGAACGCCGATGATTTCTAAGTACCCGATACTTCCTACTATCGCATATCAAACTGATGAGATTTTCCTATTCTGCGCTGCAGCCTTCCTTTGTAAATAATAAAGCAGCGTGAGAACTGAATGCGTGTGTTCTCATACGACTCTTAACAACCCCTGCTGTTACTGTACATGGAAAATTGATCGGTAGCAGGCCGAAAGTTCTGATTAAACAGTAAAAATCGACCCTAAATGGTTCCCATCTTTTTTGAGAGAAGCTAATTTTGCAATTGTTGGAAGGTGTTATGATTAATTAGATTTTTTTTAAATGTTATAGTAAGGTAGGCGACAATTGAAGCCCCCCAAAAAATTGTTTTCCATTTTTTGAAGTGATAAATCTCTATTTGTCTAATGTTTTCCACTCACGGGAGGTAAAGGGTGTCCATGCTGCAGCTACTTGAATTGACATTTAACCTACTTGCAAAGTACTCTGGTATAATAAGAAAACAGACTCATTCAGATGCATTACAAGGGCCTCATTCGTCCTGGGTGATTTCTCGCGACAGATAGAGAGAAATCAAACCAGCTGGTCATGTATCTGAGATGGAGTTAGTCTCCGCCTTAATTCCTTTAACAACTTGAAACGTTTAAATGTGTGTGCGGAGAGGGAACATCCGAATGGGATGAAAAATATTAATGTAAAGGAATGATGGGAAAGACTTTACTAATAATCCATATTGAATGTGCTCCCGCCCCATCTGTCAGACCTTTTCAAAAAGCACGAGCCATCGCTACTGGTGACGTTTCGCCTGAATGTTAATGCGTCGCGTAGGCCCCATGTGTTCTTCGGTCGTCCCGGAATAATCCCAGAGTATTAAAAGTTGAGCTGTGACTTATTGCTAGGGGATTCGTCTCCACAGCGAGGTCTAAGTCTCTCGTTTAGAACCAGCGCTCACGTCATCTCGAGCGGGAATGACGTCACATGGGACAAACCCATAGAGCTAAGAAGAGAGCCAAAGCCAAAAGAGTTCTTACATCCTGGAGGCATGTGTTTGCTGGAACCGTTTGCGTCATAAGATACTACGTGTCCTCGACGTCGGGAAATCTTTTCCTATCCAATGGGACATTTGCTTTTCTCCTCCATCGTCATCGGGATGTTTCGATAGACGGTAATAACGATCGAGTCGAGGGTAAAGAGGACGGAGAAGTCATTCATCCATGTGGCAAGCTCCTTTTTAAAGGGAAAAGTCATTAGGAAGAAAGCTCGTTCGGATCGGAGGCTGAAAGCCAAAGGAAGGGAAGGGAAGGGAATGCGAGGCCTCACCTTGGAAGCAATCCTCATCGATGCACTGTGGCAATTATATCCCACCCGAGTAAAGAGATCTCTGATCTCTTTATATATTTATGATAGCAGGAAGTTTTAAATAATTCAGAACTGTACAGAGTAAGCCAGGGACTCCCATCTTTGGAGCATAAAAGAGTGGATTAAAGGAGCTATGTCGCTCGAATAATGAGAAATAATTAGCCGTGTGCCAACGTTCGCCTGTACGTGCAAGGAAATGTAATATTTTATTGTAAATTTCTGCTCCTGTTATTGAATCGACACGGATTACAGCCCGGTGGAATTTCCTATAAAATGATAATTTCCGATATGTAAGATGTTCTATTCGTCGGCAATCTGTAAAATACTGTATGTGCAAAATATAGCTGCTAGTAACGAGACAATAGATTGACATGCTCCCACCGCAAGCGTTTATCTTTATATTGTTAGAGGTAGGCCTATCTTGAATGAGCGCTCGACTCCGACTCCGGATCTCATTATGGGAGGAAATAGCTCCTGGCGTCTCAACTAAACCGAGAACTTTGAACCGAGGATCTTCAAAGACGCTTGAAGAAGATGGACCCTTCCGATTCCAACTCGAGCATGATATCGATTCCGAACCTTAACCTTACGTTAACATGACGATCTCGGATCTCGGAGACGGCAAGCAACGCATGCGACATTCGCACAAGGATTCCGACTGACCTCGAGTGAATATTAAAGATGGCCGCCCTTTCCAATCGGTGAGGAACAAACTCCCAACCAAAGTGGCCGAGGAGACATTCCCATAGCCTAAAGCTGGTTTTACATTTAGTGGGGCACTAGCATCAGAGTTGCATGCGAGATCGTACCGATAGACGACCGTTGCCTGTGAGTGTACTTCCAAGAAATGAAGACTTTATTCCATGGAAGTACTTCTCACGGACAGAAAGTCGATGGGAATGATCTCTTTCGCGCGTAACTTCCATGCGAGTGCTCTACGGTGCGAAAATTTGCCCTGAGCTGTTTCGTGAACGAATGCTTCGTCAAGTTGTGGCGTATTTCTCATCTCCTCCCCAAAATAAATGAGGCCACGCGGTGAGAAATAACGTAGCGATGATACGTTGCTTATGATGACTCGTGACTCCCAAGTTCGAAAAATGAAATTTAAGCCATCAAGTCCTCATAATTCAGAGAGAAATCCCAGTTCTGCAGCAAATGTGTTAAAGAAATTTGTGGTAAGATAAATTCCCCCCCCCCCCCCTTCCCCCTCCCCTTCCCGGAAGTGCCCGTGAAGTAATTGCGCCTGGAAAATTGGAGACTGGAGATCCATGGTTTAGGCCGTTGAGGAAAGAGACTATTACCTTCATGGAGGAAAAGGAGAGTATTATTGTCTCCAGCGTTTTCAAGCTGTATTATTCAAGAGACATGGCTATGACCTGTCTTTTGCATAATGCAAAACGCCATCACATGCTCATCCTCTCTCGCAAAGAACTCAAGAAAGGCGGAAACTAAGACGTGGTCTATTTCAAAATTGACCGTGGGGACTTTAAGTTAAATGAAAAAAAACTTGACTCTTTTCATCGCTTCTCATACCGATTTTTCGACTCCTTAAGCTTTAAACAGTTTTATCATATACTCGTATAATATAAAATCAAATGTGTTTCACCCAGTAAGACATTTTTCCACTCGACTCGAACACGCAACAAGGCACTTTCCATGCCTGGGAAGTGCCTTGTTCGAGTCGACTGGAAAAATCTCTCACTAAAGAGATGACACGTGGTATCTCTTTCATGGCTCATAGCTCACTCTAGTAAAGACCGTTCCTATTCCTTGTTAAAGTACATATGGTGAACTTGACACATCCGACACATACGTAGTGATAACGGAGGAGCACCTGAAGTCTGACGACTCACTCTTATTCCTCGCATATCGGTCAAAGATATACCCATTCGTAACGATGACGTCACCTTCACTCTCCTCGCCAGTGACACTACTGTATCCTTGTCACACCCCGAAATCTGAGAATACGGTGGCAACTTCTTCAATGCAACAGCGAGGTTTCCTCTCGAGCTGAAGTCGATGGATGGAAGCCAAACCGTGGAAAAAGAGCCCGCATCTACTTGTAATTAAGTAATAAAGTATGACATGAATTCTTGGAAAGCCTCCTTCAATATTTTCATCAAATTAAAAATTTCCTATGTATTCTCTCCAGGAATTACCACGAGGACCTGTTCTCTTCATAATGAAAAACTGCAACACTCTACGGTTGTCAAAGCTCTTCTCATATTCAAAGACCGGCATGCTCAACACACGTTCCGAGGAAAACATTATTTTGTTTTTGCGCAATAAACTACTTACAGACCAAGGTCACGAGTCGATGCGGCAACTTTCATAATCAACTTCCCCTCTCTCTTTATAAACTGATGGATGAATTCATCAGTTTATGAAGCTTCAAGAAACAACTTGAACGATTCGTACAGGGTGTTCCATTTATGTTGAGATCACGAGAATGTTGATTCAAGATTCAAGATTTCAAGATAGTTAGTGATATCAAGAAGCGATTTCACCCATTTCGATATCACGTGTCGAGGTCGAGCGTTCCTTAATTTTAGGGTAGGCCTAACCCTCTTAAAGCTATATATTTTTGTATTTTTGTTTGTTTTTGTTTTTTTTTTTTATTTGACTATCCCTAGTTGCTTACTGTCTAG